GAGCGTGGTCACAAAGAGAGGAGTAACGGTACAACGTGAGGAAATGGGGGCTTTTTGAAATCCCAGTCCAACCCCTATTTTTCCTTTCATTCCCAAGATTCACTGAAAATTCATAGGGATATTTCGAGAGATTTCGGATAATGTTCAGCTTCCTCTCCATACAGACGTGCTTAGGAACACTTCCTTTCTAGGCTGCCGTTCTTCGAGCAATCACTGATACTCAGTACCTTACTGGACTGACTCGCACTGGTGCCGCTATTCAACACATGGTTCAGGAAGGGTTCAGTGAGCGACGAGGTGCCCGACCTCAAACTCCTGACATCGCCAGGTACGTTCCAGCAGTTTCTCTCAGTGGGATGTGTGCTGATCGCTTTCGTTGTTAAGGGTAGCGATTGTTCTCACTGACGGTCGTTCTCAAGACAATGTGACTGGACCTGCTGAGTCGGCTAGGAAGTTGAACATCAACACGTTCTCCATCGGTGTCACCGATCACGTACTGGCCAGTGAGCTTGAAGCCATTGCGGGATCACCTACTCGATGGTTCTACGTCGACAAGTTCAAGGTGAGCGCTGTGGGATTTGTTTCTCCAGATATCTTCCTTCCTCGAAGGTTGAGAGAGTAGGAAGATGGTCCATTCTTCCGTCCAGCAGTCATCCTGCCGGTTGATGGGATGTCATTCTTTGGGCTGTTGTTGTTCTTTACTTATTTTTACTTCTCCAGGACCTGGATACACGTCTTCGTTCGATGATTCAAAAGGCAGCATGCCCCACCCCNAATTGAAGCGAGCGGAAGTAATTCGGGTGTTCCTCCAACGGTAATCATCGGTGTCAAGTGGGAGCGTGGTCACAAAGAGAGGAGTAACGGTACAACGTGAGGAAATGGGAGCTTTTTGAAATCCCAGTCCAACCCCTATTTTTCCTTTCACTCCCTAGATTCACTGAAAATTCATAGGGATATTTCAAGAGTTTTCGGATAACGTTCGGCTGGCTCTTCATAAGGCAAGCCTGGGAACGCTTCCTTTCTAGGCTGCCGTTCTTCGAGCAATCACTGATACTCAGTAC